AGGCAATTTCATCGCAATGGTGTTTTTATCCCCCAATGGGGATCTGACTGTTTGGTGACTGCGGTCCGTTTCACCGTCTTTATTTTCATCGTGCAGACGCATCCCAAATTGGATGACCCTCTCTGATTGCACTGGTCTTCCTGGTCTTTTTGCAGGTCGACTCCCTATGCCTCTATCCCGGCCCCGCCTCAACATGTCTAATAGCTGCTGCCTTCTCTCCTGATTCTGCCTCTGATCATTCCGTTCATGACCGTCCACTTCAGCCGGAGGGTTGGTGACAGCAGGTCTGACGAATCCTCGCAGCAAGCACCTATCGCCCAAGGCAGTTATCCCTAAATCAATCAGCTGCTCATCCGTGAGCATCTGTACCACTGCGCCATCCACCTTGAATTGTACAATAATTTACAAGCATTAATATTACAACAAAACGACAAAGAACACTTAATTATATCCTCAAACCATCAAAAAAGCGTGTAATAAATCATGACTGGTTTTGATAGAATAAATTCAACGGGCATATGAAGGCACATATTAATTTAACTTATGATACCGGTATCTTATAAACGAGTGAATTTGAAATGATTATTAACGGAAGATGGTTGTGAATACCGAATACAATATTTTAACAATTCTTTAAAGGGTGTAGGTGATGGGGTGCCAGGAACGTGTTTTTTTTTTCAGCAACCAAGACGCTGAATGCCAAACAAGGCTTATTTCAGCAGTTAGGGGAGACCGGGGCAAGTTGGCCCAGTTAGACACGTTTGGGCCTTCTACAGGCCTACCCAACTACCAGACTCGGATAAGGATCCTGAATTAACCGGTATATCGGACCCCACTACCCGTTTTCAAGGTGTGTGTCAGATCGCATTTCGGAGTATCAGTCAGAACACCGACAGGATGAGCCCACGCTCGGCTGTCACCTTGATTGGATAGTAAAAGATTGTCGTAAAATCGCTATATGATTTTAAAACCAGATGCATAAAATTGAAAACCACCTAGAACAACCTTAGATTGCCACATTAATCTAATTCAATGCAAAGAAAAAAAAACTATCAAAAGTGGTTAAACCATTCAAACCGAATGTCGTAAAGGGCAGATTTATTGAGGTTTTCGTCCGTCACGTTGAATGGGGGAGGGGGGGGGGTGGCTATGTGTTGCAAGAACCAAAATATCTGTCAACAAAATTTGTTTTGTTTTAATCAAGAATAAATTAATAATGGTATATCAAACAGGTTTTTAATGAGTAAAAACGAATAAAAAAATTGTTTCAAAAGAAAGCAACACATTTAGTTTTAAACCATTGAGTCTGTTTCAACTGTGGACTCTAGCTCTGTTGCGCGCAAAGGTTTGCGGGTAATAAAGGGATTTAACTTGGCTCGCATGGACATTATACTCTTCATATATGATCTTACAAAAGGAATCTATGCCTACCAAATCCCGGTTGTACTGGCTTTAAGTTCGGGGTTAAGAACGCGGACGCGAGCCAAGGGGGCCAACTTGCCCCGGGTGGACACTTTTTATTCTAAAGGATGGCAGCCATTTATGGTGCTAGAATGAGCAACAATGATACATCTATGTGAAACTTGAAACAATGAGCTTCAGTTTGATACCCTATACAGGGGCGGATCCAGAAATATTTTCTGACAGTCCTCCAAATCATCTTTGTTGATCCATCTTCCATTTCTGACCGTCTTCCGACAGATTAAAATTAGATACCCGTCCGTGTAAATTTGAAAATCTGACCATCTTCCGGAAGACCCAGAAGACGCCCTAAATCCGCCCCTGCTATATATAGGGTCTATATGTATTTTATTCCATCAAAAGCCTATGAAAATAGATGTTTAAATCTCTTAAACAAAATTACTGTTAGGTGCAAAACTCGTTTATTTCCACTCACGGCTTAAGTAAACTTTTTAACGTCCGACATTTTCTTAGCATTGTAGGCTACGGTCACTTTACAAGAGTATGTGGGCAATTTTTTTAACCTCGTATTCACTTATTCATAAATTGACGGGAGGCCAATTTAGCCGCAGTCTCCCTACCCAGTATACCTGTCATATTAATTTAAATTAGTTACAAAATTGTGATGTAAGGAAATGTAACACTAAATAAGGTCCACTGGACACACACGTGTAGACTGTATACTCGTAGTTTGTAAACCCACCCGAATCAAAGGAAATGTGTTTCAAATTTCAAGTAATTAGCAGGGACATACATGATAAACAAAATTCCCCGATTACCCCTCCCATAACAGAAACACTTTGTAGTTTGAAAGCGGATATGCTGTTTTGAAATCCCAGGCAGGGTGTATCAATCTTTCTAATTAGTTTTGACTCTCTCTCTCTCTCTCTCTCTCTCTCTCTCTCTCTCCAAACAATCTATTGAGCCTTATATTTCATTAAGTAACTGTTTTTGTTATAAAATGTTGATATTGCATATTATTTCGTCGTATAGAAAGTTATCCGCGTTCTTAACCCCGAACTTAAAGCCAGTACAACCGGGAATTGGTAGGCATAGATTCCTTGTGTAAGATTATATATGAAGAGTATAATGTCCATGCGAACATTGGTAACATTTTAAGTTGTCGTTTATAACTGTTTTAGGTAAGCTATATTGGAAATGTACTGTTCTTTTTAATAAAAAATCTAACAAAATTAGATGAGAAAATGTCCTTTATTCCAGGAAAATTCATTAAGTTCTATTTTTTTACTCAAAAATCCCTGTTGTACTGCCTTTAAAGGTATAATCCAATCCAAAAGTGTCGCCCATGCTTTTTAAGCCCAAACGAATTCAATAAATCTCTCCTTGAACTCCTAAATGAACATATTTGAGACTTTTCTATCGAAAATAAAATCTTTCATTTACAAACGCGCTGGAACGCCACTGGCAACCATCTTAAAAGCCTTAAACCACTAGCCCAGAAGTGAAATTTTATCAATTTCTTTTCAAAATTGTTACTGGGTTATGCTTACTATGCGGAAAGGAAGAAAAGTTTGAGAGTAGAGGAAAATAAGTTTTACTCCAGGATAAATCGTTTCCCGGCCAAAACCCTATACATTGTACCTTTAAAAGAAAATCTGTCATAACGCACGCTTTTTATAACCATACTGTACTCAGATCGAAATTGGATTTTTTACACGATTAATGAAGGGAACACGATTTTAAAAAATCATTTTTTTCGCATATTCTTGGGGGAAAATTATACGAAATTACAAACAATTTCATCAGACAGTACCTTTTGATCCCTGACATTCCGTATAACGGTATCTGAAACTCCCCTGGTTTGCAGAAACTCGCAGATCTGAAATCAATTCAGCAAAGAAATAATGAAATCCCTGATAATAATCCTTTTATTCAGGGTCGTCAACTAGCGTTATACCTTTTTGAATTAAAAATGATACCATTCTATTAATAGGCCTATAAGCAAGTAACATAAATCATATTAGTTATATGATTTTAAAAACGGTTATGAAACACACGGTTTTGTTCTAACGCTATCATACATGTAATTTAAAGAAAAAATGAAACGGTACGAGTAAAAAAAAAGTAAGTAAAGGTGTCAAGTACCTCATCCACAGTTTTCATCTCGACAGATAGATGGTATATTCTTGACCTCTTCGTTAGGTTTCAAACTTTGCTATGGTTACTTTAAAATCGGAATGACTTGAACGCTAATTAATACCAGGAATGACTTGAACGCTAATTAAATTCTGAATGAACGGCTCTAGATAGTAGCGAGGGCGGGATATTTATGACGTATTTTAGAAGCAGAATACATCTCTTGGACAAACACATCACACAAACATTTAAAAATACATTGTCGAAAAATAACGTTAAGTATTATTAGAAATAACAATGGTATTCCCTTTGCATAACACTGCAAGTGGGACTCTAATTATATAGGTGGTAAATATAGATGGGAAACTTAAGTTAACGGCAGTGGCCCCACGAACAGACCCACCAACCTTGTGTGTATGTAACAATAGCATGCACCGTGACGGGATCTGGCAAATGTAAGGTTCTCATTACCTATTCATCACACGGGCCGAGATGGCCAGGAATTACCACCGCGGTGAAAATTATTTTCCACCGCGGTGTAAATTAATTTTCACCGCGGTGTAAATTAATTTTCACCACGGTGAAAATTAATTCCCACCGCGGTGTAAATTATTTTTCACCACGGTGAAAATTAATTCCCACCGCGGTGTATATTATTTTTCACCGCGGTGAAAATAATTTTCACCGCGGTAGAAATAATTTTCACCGCGGTGATAATTCCATAAAATAAAACTTAAATGAAAATAAAAAAAAGTTAATATGATACTAATAAAGCTCCGTACATATGACCATTATCTTGTGCCTAAATTCTTTTTAATGTGCCTCACAACAAAAAAATTACGTATTTTGATTTTGAACTTATTTTACCTCTCCGAAAATATTGTTTTCCTAATAATAAACAAACCAGGTTGACCTGGGACAAAAAAGAATTGTTAGAATTTGACGAAGATGCATATTTAACCTTTACAACTGAGTGTAATCGACCTACGGAGACCGATAGTTTCGAGGGGACGGAACCCTAAGTACCCTTATGGTCTATATATATACATAAAGAGGGGTTATAAGCTCTGAATAAATAAAATAGCATGGGCCAGTTGATATGTTCTTGACGAAGGCTCTATGGAGACTGAAATGGCGGTCCAGGCTCAAAGAGGGGAAATGCCATTGTAAAAAATTCTCCACTTATTACTATAAAAGTTATTCATTGATTTAGTAGTGCTACATATACAAAGTATGCCATTCCTTTGTAGGTATCTGTATATCAGTTCATTCTCACAGAGAGAGTTGCTTTAAATCGATATATCTATGAGTATATTCTTAAATCAGCGTGACTTAAAAAAGACCAAAAATAAAACACAAGGTGGGATTTAAAAAAAAACAAGAAACCAGCCAATAAGGCCAATATTTTAATATTGTTAAAACAACAAAGGTGATGTACTCACGATCTCGCTCTCTCTCTCTCTCTCTCTCTCGCTCGCTCGCTCGCTCACCTGCTGTGGTGCTTTCGTTGAAACCAATGTCTTACACACGAAGACAAACAACCGTGACCTTGGATGATGCTACTCTACAGGTAGAGAACATAACAGAATACAAATATGCTAAATATACACCCCTAGTCGTGCTGGGACTGCAGGGCTCGGAGAAGAAGGGGGGATAGGACAAGACAAACAACATTATAGCAAGGGGATATTTCATTTATCACACGAGAAAACTATTAAAGTACAATCTTCCTTGTAAAATAACCGAGGCGCTTGTATATCTTTTAAATTTTAATGGTGGTCGTCCTGATCACCATCAATCTGTGCAAAGTATTGACCATTCATATAATAATTAATATTTCTCAAATTACTTTTTTTTCATGAAAAATCTGTAGCTTTACATTAGCAACAAATTCTTCCCATGTACCTCCCTTTGTAATAATATACCGTTGAGTGTGATATTTGTCCAAAAATTCACCGCAAGCTACAAGATTAATTGCAATGCAAGGTTTAGCTGTTGATTATTCATAACGGATATGTCTCTATTTGTAACAAAGCAGAAAAAGATTTTGGCATTATTAACATGATGACAGTAGATCTAAGCTTTTATACAGGTGTATAATGATCAAGTTGTGGTCTTTAACTTTGGATACTGACCAAACCTAAAAATTCGTGACATTTTACTATCTTGCCCATTTATCTGAACCCTTTGAATTGCCTCTTTATGAGTGGCCATAGTTGCAAATACGGATAACAAAATACAGTGATGACCAAGCAGGATTGTTTGTAATTTATTATGATTCATAATATGAAGATTGTTGTCTGTCTGTTATAAATGATATTGATATTTGATGGTTGTGGTTCAAATAAGATACTTCTTGTAAACAGATCTAGATCAACCTCGGTCGACCAGACTAAATTGTGAAAAGAAGGGGTGAGATTCACAATGAAAATAGTGGTTGTTTCCCTTCTCTTTTTTCTTGCTTTGCAAAATAAGCATAGATAAATATAGGTTTAATAGTTTGTGTCAAAGCAGCGTGACCTATCAGTGCCCGTCTGAGTTTATATAGAACAAACACCGTGCACTACTGCTTATGGTTTTATAAACAATCTGGGTCATTTTATGTACGTGTATTTTATGACTTTAACTTACTGTGGTGCGCAAGAAATCAACAAATCACAGTGGAATGAGTGAATTTTGTAATTTTTGCACCATTATTCGGTCTCTTTTTTATTTTTTTAAAATAACATCAAAATAGGATCGCTTTCAACCGCCGCTCTCTATCAAAATACATGTAGAAGTCAAGAAAAATGTTGAACAGAGCTAGGGTTTGGTGTCTGTTTAAAACTGAAGTGTATAGGCATAATAATATAAAAATAATAATATAATAATATAATTGGAATGCGGTCGACACTCCTCACTGCACCTGTGCTACCCCTGATACTCCTTTACTCTTCTCATTCAGATACCCTCTACGGAATGGAAGTTACACGTCCCTTTTCCATTAAATGAAATATTGCAGGGTAATAAGGTCTGTTTTAGAACTCAGAAAGAAAAGCTATCATTGTTCCTTCGTGGTTATAAATCTTTTACTGTGGGACAAAATGAAATGATCTTTGTTACCTTATCTACGTTCCTACATGTAAATGTACTTGACAACTTTGAAATCACTTAAACAGTACTCTTTTTTCGCTTTTTTAATTCAATAATTTTTCCATTTTTGTTTAGTTTGTGCGTGTTAATAATATTATCGATTTATTTTTTGTTTATTCATTTATCTAGTTAGCTGTTCATTAGCCTTACGTTCATTTAGTTATGACCATTTTTTATATCTCTCTTCTGTATGACCTTTTAACGTATGGCCTGTCTATGATCGGTGGTGAAACCTCAAATATTTTCACAAAACCATGTAATCCCGTTGACCTTCCAAGAAGGACATTGGCCCACACCCGTGGATCTGATGAAGAGATGCAAAATGGGTAAAAGTCTCACACTTTCTGTTACGAATATGCCAAACTGCACCATATTTTGCAGAAGATTACCTGTTTGTACGCCCACGACTAAGACAATACATTTTTCTTTTTTGTTTGTATAATTTGTCAACTTTTTACAGGTGCTGCGGATGCAAAGATTCTTCAGATCGTTTTTCATTGCTTTCCACACTTTGGTTCAACGTTGATAGAGCTTATACTTTCTTTTAACGGTATATTCAAGTCCTACATGTAATATTGAAATGACATGTAAAATAAAATCTACAAAAACAATAAAAGATACATTTTGTTTTGATAATGCTCACCTTGCTGTAGAAGACAGCTACACCACCTCTTCTTCACTCACAAACACGTTACAGCAGGTCAAGCCGTGACCTGTATCTGTACATGTATAATGGGTGACGGCCTCCAGGATGTTAGAGACAATTTACCTGTCTAACCACCCGACCCCCATTCGCTCAAACACAACAAAAGAAGAAGGAAATAACTAAGTTAATGCCTCTTATTGTCCTTGGGCGCATTCACAGTGGAGTTGTGCAGACTCAGTTTAGAAGACACCTTCTTAGCACAACGTGTAATAGTGGTTTAAAGCTAAAGGTGGTTATTCTCTCAATACGCCATACGACATATGGTTAAAATGGATTAATTTGGTTTTAAAAGTTATAGTACGTTCTTCTGGCAAACTTCAGTTTGGACTTAGTTACAACTTGACTGGAAATTGGGTCCCGTGTACCGGTTTGTAAGGAGTTGTTAAACATACCTAAGGATTCATTTCCAGTGACACGATCGGTCTACGTAGATTCACCCAAATCTGCAGGGACTCTCGCTGAATACAATCTGATTAAAAGATTAACACGCCTCTTCTTTTTTCCAACATACTCACACAATCACCAGCTTTTCAATATTCTTCTCAACGCCAGTAGGAGGCTTATTAATCTGTTAATATGATTGCATTCAGCGAAAACTCCCGCGAAGTTGGATCGATCTTACGTAAAAGATAGGTTTGATACTATAGTTTTGGGAATGGGCCCTAAAGAGTGCAAACACTCTGCTGACAACGGGAGCAAATACAGTGTACAGTGCAAATATAGTGAACGTGGGTATATAAAAGGTAATTCCTTGGCGTCTAATTCACAAATTTACCCTGGCAATACGTCGACTAGAAGGCACGGGTTTTCGACACTTTTTTCGCGCAAATGTATTAGTAATATAAAAATAAATATTATATCCTGGACTACAGTTTCTGTAATTTATTTTTATACTTAGTAAAAATGTTAATGCATCTATGACTATCTATGGTAGCTTATTGTGTGACGAGATCTTCCAAATACATGTATTTACGGAACTACAGTGGCGAATTTGGGGGGGTGTCAAGGGAGTCCTGACCACCATCCCCCTTCGATTTCTGAAAAAAAAATTACACCAGTAGGATCCCCTCTTGAAATTAGACTTTTGCCTAGCTGAATCACAGTTGTAAACGGGCGTACCGAATGACACCGTTCGATCTCTAAAATATCAATACCCTTTAGCGAACCCTACGCCAAGAGGGGGGGGCTTTGCATCCGTGGACACCCCCTTCAAATACTGAGTAATCCTGGATCCGCCCCTGAACTATGTGTAACTTTAGATAAAGTGTGGAAGAAACTTAATTGTCGGTATTTATTTATTTATTTAAAATTGACCTATAAATAATTGTTGTTTTTGTTATTAGTATGATACCTACTATAATTTTGAAAAATTGTATGTAATGCAATTTCTTTGTCATTTTTCATTTGTCAGTTTTTCTTCTTTTCTTTATCATGTGCACATGCTAAACTTTGTGTTCTTTTTACTGTGATTTCTATCATATGCGAATAAAATAATGTTATTTATACCCTCTGTGTATAATAGGCAAGCCCTGGTAACAAGTTAAAACCAAGTGCAGCGTCAAAATTCGAGGAGGGGAATAGAATTGTTAATTTGTGTACTAGTATATGCGTTTTCATCATACACCGTGCGGTGCCTTACCCGAACGGCATAAAAGGCGGTCACCGTGCATTTTCTTAGATATTTATGTTATCGTAGGATGTAGGTGTTTTGAACCTAGAATGCAGTAGTGGTGCTCTTTGAAGGCGTGGCCAAAGCATTCCAGTCTGCTCCGTGTTCAGCACCACTGCAGTGCGTTATGTTATAGTGAAGAATGACGACTCACTTTTTCACAGAATCTACAAGTATTTATACTCTATTTTCCCAAAGAATTTTCCATTCTCATATTACAAAACGCTATTCAATATTTCCTAATTAAGTAATTTCAGAGAGACTTGTTTCAATTCAAAATATTTTCCGAATTACTCATGCTTGGACCTTGTCCATCTCGAGTATGCATGAGTTTTACACGTGTTAGAAACGTGCAAATCTATAGAAAAATTGACAAATCAGATCCAACTATATATGACTTTGAAATGTTCCATCCATTCTTACTTCGAGAACACTCTCTACACTTGTTGACACTTAAAAAATTTTAACTTGCACTCAATAACTTCCTACACATTTGACTCTGTTTTATTTGTTTTTGTAATTATCGAAAGTGTAAGTCTTCTGCTTTACAACAATAATATTCAACCACCATGAAGAGCCCAAATTCTAACTTACGTCAGAGATAAAAAAAAAACAACCGATTGAACAAAGCTTTTTTATATGAAATTTTAAAGTTTTTAAAGTCTGGTAAAATTAAGCACAATTTTGGTGCTGTTATTTTCACTCATCAAGTTGACCCAGGTTGCTTTAAAAGGTGAATTGACCTGTCATTTTTATGGGTTGGCAAATGGCATTTTGTTATCTCATATCATCTTATTATATTTCTATTTTTATTCCTGTAGCTTTAACAACTTACTATTTACCAGAGGGTCGTTATACATCTTTTTTGTTTAAATAATGAAATCAATGCTGGTTCCTACGTAAATTTCTACTTTTGCGAGAAAAGTGTATGTAGCAAAGAACTGTAACCATTCACTTGACTGAAGCCAGTGGAGAAAAAGAAAATAAGAAGTATTAACAATTTACTTTTGTTGGTATTTTACAGATCGAAAATCGATTAAAAACGTCATTCTTTTAAGAAAGTGACATCGACATTTTGGAGCAGAAGTAACTTTAATAGCTTGATTTGAAGAAGCTATTATTGTAGCAACATAAAATTGTTGAAAACGGCATCAAAGTCAATGCCTGGCCTAAATCCCGTAGTCGCCTCCTTAGAAATGCGTGTGGAACAGGGCAGTCAATTTCTATTTGCTTATGCTGTAAACGTTACTTAAACCCGTCTGTGAACCCATTTCGTATAGAATTCCTCCAAAGAAATTATTTTTGTTTGGGTATTCATTGCTGACTTTAAGCCTTGGACTCGCCCAGTTCAGAGGGGCAAATGAGGAAAGCTCGATTAATTAAATAAACTCATCGTTAGCAAATTTTTATGGAAATGCTTCCAATATTTGCCAAAATGCTTTTGTAGTACTTAAGCATAAAAAATCTCCCCGTGATATTCACTAGTTGCTGTGTCTTCATTTCCCCTTACGGGTCTCCTTTGGTTTTCGTTTCGGAAGCCCCCGTCGGTCCCCTGGTATCCCGAGGTAAAGGTTGACAGCAGTGTGATCCAGGCACTGATCTACTTAGTGTGTTTTCGTAATTTATTGTTTATATAAGACCCGCAAAACGCCATGAGAAAATACTATTTTTTGATTCGATATCTGAAACAAAGCGTTTTCATAAGAAATTCGTTTTTGGTAGGGGATATATTTTGCGAGTCTGCATGGATATGCATTTTTAAGTTTTTGTTATCTTAGTATGTGCATTCCATTAGTCGTCCCCGTGCATGAAGACCTTAAACTAAGAAGTCACCCGTTCAATGTCTTTATTTACGCTGTGATGCGTCCATTCATCATAACCTGAATGTCATCCCCGCAAGTGGCTTTTTCACTGACCTCCTCACAATGCCTACGTCAGAATACAAATAATGTACAACAAAAAAATGCAAATACCCCGCCGCATCAATACCGCCAATAATGGTCGACGGGACGTGGTAAACAGAGCATTACGGGCCGCTAGGGGAAGGAGTTGTTGTCACTGTGTGCAAGTGCTCGCTTACCTACGCCCTTGATTCCGCCATCGCCCTCTCACTTCATCCCAATCTCCCGGCTGAGAAGGACGTACACGCCATACAGACATGGACGGAGGACGCATCGGTAAGATAAGCTAACTTCTTTATTTAGCGTTCTCGATCCAAATAATTTTAATGCTTTTCTTAATGTTCTCGTTTGAATTATTGTAAGCTGTGTAAAGTGAAACTGTAACTTTAGTATTGCGAAAGATTAAGTTTAGTATCGAGGTAGAGAAAATATTAAATATTAAATGCTGGCGTTCGTAGAGCATAAATACAAAATATTGATGTCAACTGGATAATTCCCACATTACTGTTACCAGTCTCCACAAACAGAGTGCGAATCCGTCATCAAACGCTACTACTTCAATACATTTATTTAAACAAAATATAAGCCACAGCATAATTTGCTAACAAAAAAGGGGGTAGAATAATCATAGTTAAACTGATTCCTATTTCTACGTGAAGTGTTCCTGGCTGTCGCCGTTGCAGTCTTCGGCTCCCTGACGTCCGCTCAGGATACATGCGCCAAGAAAACCTACACCATTGCTGTCGGACACGACTTCGGAGCCCACGAATACATGTAAGGCAGGGCAGCCGCCATTCTCCTATCTTTATAATGATAGTCTGTATAAGTTTCCTTTTATAGAAAATCGAATAAAAGTGTGAAATTAATAGGTGTTCTTCTTTTCAAATAACATAGCTAGGGTATCTGTTTAATGAATATACTGCTACGTGTCAATGTACCGGTATACCGGTATGCTGCCGCTCTCTCTCTCTCTCTCTCTCTCTCTCTCTCTCTCTCTGTGTGTGTGCTTGAATTTAAGTTTTCAGCATATTTTATTTCTCAGCATTATCATTCCGGTCTCCTGAGATTTGAATGTTAGTTCTTTGATCACTTTCAAGTGTCGTTTTTTAGTTTTGTTCTCCAAGAAGTTCACTGGTGTTTCTATCTGTTGCAGTGATAACACGGGATATTTGGCTGGATTCCATCTGGAGTTGATTGACGCAGGTATAAAACTAATTAAAAAATATCAAAGATTTAAATGGGTAATTAACCGAAGGATTGTAAAGCCTCCTGCTAATTATATTGTTTTATTTATTTATTTCTTCGTGTAAGGGAAAATACTTGCATGCATTATAAATGTATCAAACTAGCATAGAAAATTATTGGAAAACAGCGTATTTTATTTATTTTTAAATTTTGTTATACGCAGTGTGTACCGAGGCCGGCATGGACTGTCGTACAGTATGGGATAAGTACAGCAATTGTTGGGCTGTCACCGCAGGACAACCAGCACACGGCGGCATGGGTACGTGACGAAATAACAGCAGTTCACTCAAACCTCTAAAGGGGTAATTTCCCAAATAATGGCCTCTTATTTTACATAACGGCTCTGAGGCATTTGTACCTTTTTAATGTGTGGCAGCATATTTATTAGTAATACGTATTTGATTCATTTTATTGAATATTGCGATTTGCATGTGAATAGGACAGTCTCTGTTTTATATATGTATAATGACATATTGTGGAATACAGAAATGGGACGTTTAATTATACTCATTGAAAGATACATTTTCATGTAAATGAGCATTACCATTTGGTCAAGAAGACCTCAATTGTCATCGCTGTACATATATTTTTTCTCAGGTTTGTTTGGGAAGTGGTACGACGCCTGTACCGGTTGGTATAAAACAGTAGGTCGTGTACAGGTGTTCAGTTTCGCCAGGCCCCACACCAAGGCCCCCCTGTCCGCTTTTTATATCAAAAATGGAGGCACTTCGGTGACCGTGTCCACTCTTACTGGAAAAACTATTGGTAAGCTGTACAGCTTATTTTAGAACTTTCTTTTTTGGTTGTCAGTAATTAATTCTTAAGACACTAATTTTGAATGTTGTTGCTGTTTATATAACCTGAATTTTTGATAAGCTGAGTGTGGTAATAAATGCTAAAAATTAGAGTAACAAAAAACGTGTGAGCTGCAAACTGCTTTTTCAGGTAATATTTCAGAAGTTCCGAAGGTAACGAGCTTACATTCAATGTGTATTTCATTTTTAAAAATAACTTTATAAAATGCCCGTCCACCATATAAACTTTGTAATTTGTATAATCAGCTGACGTGAAGTTTAAACACCCTTCCTGCAGGTTTCGTGGAAGGCTGGGCTAGCGATGAAGCCTGCGTTCGGAGACAGCAAGGCAGCAGCACCTCATTTACCGCTAAGAACGTCCCCACTCCCACAGATATGGTGGCCCAGCTTAAAAGTGGCGCAGTAAGTCACAGCTCCTTAATTATCCCACACATATTTCCATGTCATTATAATTCTCATTATATATCTCAAAATTAGATCTCACATTTTATTAGTAACTTACATCTAACTAGTACATCTGTTCGTTATATAAGATATATACTTCTTCATTCACAAACTGGCAATCCAATTACCAATTAGAGAATGGTATTGCACCAATTGTATTGTTGTACTAGTACAGAAATAAATTAAATTGAATATAAAACTAAGTAGTAATTTACCATCTCTTGTTAATACAGCTGTGTCTATTTTTAAATATTAAAATAATATTTCATCTGTTTACTTCCTTTAAAACAGATCGACGCTGGGTTTGCGTCCGTCCACGACATGGCCCCTTACGCCAGTGAGGTGACCAAAGTGACCGGCGGAGAATTCAGCTGCATGCTCAGCGGGAGTAGCATGATGACCCGAAAAGACAACGACTTCATCTCCAAATGGGAGGCCGGCCTGGACAAACTCATCAGCAGTGGGAAATTTAAGAAAATCTGCGACGCAGCTTCGATTCACAGTAAGTCCTTATTATGGGACCTTACATATATAATTGATATGTCTATACTCAATTTTTTCATCTTAGGTTTCGATATAGATATGCGCTTTCTATTTATTCTTTTACTAAAGCTTGGATATACCTGCGCACGATGAACAAAATAATAATAATAACAATGGCTGGATTTTTTTTTTTTTTTTTGTCATTCGTTATTCGTTTAATCGCACAGTTCGGTTTTTTTTTTTTTTTTTTTTTTTTAAGCAACGTATAATATTCTTGTTTTTTTTTATAAATCATTGGTATTAACAAGCAGACTTATCTTTTTTTCTCAGATTAGAGTGTTCCGTCCATTCTTCGTTTCCTTCAACTTGCCGTATTCTGTCACCAGGGGAGAAGAAATCATCTTACAAGCTGTCGTATTTAACTACATGGACAGAGAGCTGAACGTAAGTATC